TAAATCTTTTTTACATTGCTCAGCAGACACATTTAGGTTCTCTCTACATCTACACATGGTTGCTCTGTTTCCATAGAGGTGCTGGACTTTAGAGTTCAGTAAATAACGAACCCACAGTGACTGAAACTGTTACAGCAGCAAATAAAATGTCCAGAAACTGTTTGGGGTTCAGAGAGTGTGTTAATGCTGCTAATGCTCCAATCAAGACAGCTTTTCTGCTCGGAATACAAGAAAAAGACAAAACAAAACACTGATAACCTCATCATTTATACTGCCAAATATAAAGCACAGTCCCCCCAAACCTCAGCTGGTGTCAGGCTTATTCTTGGAGGGTTTGACAGGCGATCCCTTACGAATACGAGAAGGAATGTGAATTTAAAAAGGTGTGATCAAAGATAAGGCGAGGTGACGAATCAAGCAAGCGGTACAGAGGAAGTATCAGGGATGTGGCTGAAGGAAACAGGATGGAGTGAGCAGACTAACTTACATCTCCCTGTTCCTCTGAAAATGAGGTTGGGGACGAGGTGCCTGCATGACTCAAGAATATACTCACACTTGCATCATCCTAGACACACACAGGGATACACAAACATACAGTTTAACTGACCACAATAACACCAAAACAGCATCAACACACACACACACACACATGCACACACATCTCACCAGGCTGCGAGGAGGTGTGGTTTGTGTGTACTGTTCTGTATCTTCAACTCTCTTCCTGTCCCAGTGGTCTAGAGTCTGAAACACAAAACAGAAACAAGAATAATGTCAGAGGTGCATTGATTCCATCTGTAGCATCAGAGGCTTCCATCTTCGGCTAAAACTCTTAATTTCTTCTCATTGCAATATAAACCCCCCAAAAAACGTTACTCACAAAAACACAAAATAAAGCATCAGTTGTGTGATTTATTTCATTCAGGTTTCTCACAGCGTATATTGAAATAAACACAAGCCTGAGCTGATATTATTATGAAATATAATATCAGACTTATGAACAGGCTCTAGGACTTAAATCTGTGGTTCTACATCACACAGCAAAGGCCACGTATATAACAAGCTGTTCCAACCAGCACCTTGTACCTGTCTTGTTAATAAGATGAGACGCTACAGCACGTCTCTGCTTAGCTTTTTTTTTCAGGCATTATTTGTCAGATGGTGACAGGAACGACAGACAGCCATGGTTTTCAGCTGTAATAAGACCTGTGGCGGCTGGTGAAAATATTTGGTGAGTCTGCAAATGACGCTTTTTTTAAAAAAAAAATCAGAAATTAGAATATGAGTAACATCAGGCTCGACTATTTACAGGAATGCAAATCGTCTACCTGTGGAGGATATTCTAATCATAATCTAATTTAGCATTATCAAGACTCACCAGAGCTAAATTTCAAAACCATTTATCAAACTTTCAGCAATATTTACAGGATCTGTACAAACTCAAAACACATCAAACATAAATAATGAAAAAAAACACTATTCAGGGCTCCAGACTAACTCTTTCACTGGTAGCACCAGTATGACCCACTTTCTCATTGTGTTGCACCTCCCACCTGGTCAAAGGCAAAACAAAACATATGACTTGCTGAACATTTTCTCATCGATAGACGATTTACTGATGCTCCCTGAACGCCCCACATAGCAGGCTGTGGTAGCTGCTGTTGGTGGCTGTGGTGTGCTCTGACAGGTGTGTGACCAAAAATGACTTTAAAAAGAGTAAACTAGGGCGTTCTCATGTTTGATTTGTAAGAGGTTAAACCGAGTTACACGTATTCTACACGCGGTCTTTTCTACGAGCAGTCTTTTCTCCACTGACAGCACGGCCGATGCATTAAGCCGTCACTACAGTAGCTGTCATCTAGCAGAGCAGGAGAGGAAAGACCGTGTGACGGCATCAGAAAGCGCAAGAACGTCAAAGGACAGTTTTGATATCCAACCACAGAAGACAAAAGCAAATAAAGACAAAACTAATTGGCTTACAGCAAAAGTGGACGGGTCCGGGACGCACCGAGCTGCGCCCCGTGAGAAAGTCTGCAGCTGCCAATCAGAGCCCGGGCTGAGGTCACATGATCACGAAAAGGTTTTCGAGCTACATACACACTCATGTGGCCACGCCCCACATCCAGGAAGTGTAGAATTAGTAAACACGCAGTAAAGACTAGTATTAAATCTGTTAATAATACAAATATTGTTAAAATAGCAAAATAATATGAATGTTATTATCTATTTTGTTATGACTTTGTCATTATTTTGTTATAATTAATTCAAATTGAATTTTACCTTTGAGAACTACTTTTTATCTGGTCATCAGTAGTGGGGCGGCCCCTCTGCGCCCCGTGTTAACCAGCCGCCACTGAATAAGACCAGGGGAAACTGTAGTTCATGGTAGGCATCTTTATGTTGTTCAAAGAACACAATACCAGCCTAAAAATCCCATCAATATTTATGTCTCATTTAAAAATCTGCTTTAAAAAAAACAGCAACAAAAAAAAAAACATTTGCACTAACAAAAATCTGTCACAATTTAAAATCCTTCCAAAACCGTGAAGCCATCAGTGACCAACAGTCACTTGACAAAAATGCTGCAGCTTTCTGACTGATCTGGGCTGAACTGCAGGCAGTGTTTACTCAGAGCAGATAAGAGAGAAGTGTGGTGGTGGGGGGGGAATATAAGCAATAAAGTATCTACAGTCTGTAGAATCCGAATTTCTGTTTTGTTTTATACCTCCTGAGAATGATCTCTGACCTGTCTCACACTGTACAAAAGACATTCCTGACATCTCTCTACTTCCAGCCATGGCTGTACTGTTCCTATAGAGCTGCAGGACTTTACATTGCAGATTAAATGATCTCACAGAGAGGATAGTGCATGTCTGCCTGCTTCCATAAATTTAAAATGATTGACAAGCAATAATATTCATGACCACAGCAACAACAGATTAAGTAATGTGATAGATTAAGGATTTTTTTATTTTTTAAGTTATTTTTTTTTTTGGCCTACATAGGACAGAGAGAGACAGGAAAGTGGGGGAGAAGAACGATTTGCAGGAAAGAGCCATGAGCGGGACTTGAACCCATGGACGCCCCTGACTATAGCCCCTGTGCGTGGGTCGCCAGCTCAACCAGTTGAGCCATCACGGCACCCGATCAATGAATTTTTAGCTGCTGACCTGTGGTCCGTCAGCCGGCCCGTTCCTGGCCGGGCGTCCCTGCTGGTCTTCGGTTTGGCTGGAGCTGCAGCAGTGACTGGAGGAGGACGACGCTGGTCCGTTCACCAGGCCCTGTAAGGAGTGGTTCTCCTGAGCCAGCCTCTCCACCAGGGCTCTGGCTTCCTGGAAACGACAGCTGAGAAACTCTCGTTCTTCTCTCGTTCTTCGCTGCCATCCCTCCATCTCCTCACAGCGCTGACGCAAGGCCAGGTTGCTCCGCCGCAGAGCCTCTGGAGGACAGAACGGTGAGAGTAAAAGGAGAGAAAGGAGAATGATGCCTGTTAAAAATGTGGGGTCTGTAGATAAACTAATATTGTGACAAGAATATAGATGTAGAGGGAAGCTCTTTTAATATTCACAGATTCAATAGAGACTGTATAACTGAAAAACCTCTGACAAAGAAGAGAAACTTTTACAAACAAACTACTAATAAGAGAAGGCTTGCAGGTGAAGGGCTATATTTTTTTTTGTCTTGTTCACTGCAGCTTTAAGTGGACTACACACTGATGTACTTTTATTGTTTCATCATGTGAACACTCCCACCTCTAAGCTGCTGGTTGTCACCCAGCAATCTGTTCACTACTTCATTGTCAGCCAGCTCTGGTGGGACCCTGAGGGCCCCTCCATTCTCCTCCCCTGACATGTCCCACTGCATTGGACCATCAGGTTGGGGCTGCACCATCCCTGCACAAACAGATCAGTAACATTAGATTTTACATATACAAACACACACACATGTTCTATTACACACACTTCTGGTGGTTTCTCATCTGGTAATGCTACACAGTGAATATTAAACTGAAGCTTTAAAAACATTATATCGCAATTTTACATTGAGATAATCATTCAGCCCTGTGCTCTTGTACTGGTCCAAGCACGTCAGATCATTAAAAAGCATGCAAAAGGTCATATTTTCCTCTGACCAGTAAATACAAAAAGCCACAGATGCCAAGACAAAGGTGAGAACAAACTGTCGGCATGCTGGATGCTGACATGTCAGTTCACAAGACACTTGAACGTTCACGCCTCCACCAAGACGTAGCTTCAGTCGGCGTGGTGCGACTGACGATCTGCTCTGGATGTCCGACAACACGATCCTGTTACAAAAAATGGCCACCAACTTCTCCAAGGTCGTAAAGAGGCCACACTGGCAACTTCGAGAAGAATCCGTGTCGCAGATGTGTGACTCATTACTGACTTGTGGTTTCTAGACTCTCCACATACCCACCATCATTTCCAGTACAGCGCGGGGTTGGTTGTTTCAATATGACTGTTCAGGTGTAGAGATGCAGCACGTTGGAACAACAGATGTCAAAAAGGACAGACAGAATTTAATCATGGGTCATTCCATAACAGTTCATCCAGATTTCAGAACTTTTCCCAGTGGAAGTCATGGATTTTCTTGGGGGGAAAAAAAGCAAAGATTTCTACCTAAACTGTGGAATCCTGCAAAATCCCACCGCTCTACTCCAAATACTCTGAGTTATGAATGTTTGAAAATAGGACCTCAGTGCTAAATTTAGCAACATCAGCGATTCTTTTAAAGCATCTTTAAAGCCTCACCAATTGCTTATTTTTCCACAGGATTTTCTTGTTTTACTAAATATCCCAGAAACCTTAAGAAAACATTGTTGTAACTTGCAATCATGTTATGCAAACCTATTTAAAATGATTTTCTTTTATGGCCTTTTGCTTTTATTTAGCAGTGCAGTGAAGAGAGACAGGAAAGAGGGAAGAAGAATGGGGAGAGACCTGCAGCAAAGGGCCGTGGGCGGGAATCAAACCCACAACCGCTGCGTGGGAGAACTACAGCTCCTGTTTGTGGGTCGCCGTCTTATCCGGTTGAGCTACCGGGGCGCCCTGTGCAAACCTAGTTAAAAGATATTAATATTCAAACATTAATATCTTCACTAATATTCACTCACTATTTTTACAAATTCAGAACCCAAAAAGTATTTAGAGTAGAGCTGTGTTAATGGTTGAAGTAGATGTTTTTGCATGTTTTTTTTATTGAAAGAAAATCTATGACCTCAACTGGGAGGCCCTAAATGAGCTGGCGTGGAATGACCCCAATATATGACAGACTGCATTTGTATTTTTATTCAAACGCATAACGCAAATCACAGTCAGGTATTTCCCCCTGAATCATTCAGTTGTATGTACCTGTACTGGTCTATGCACATGAGGAACAAACCAAAGTATATCCTAATATGAATAATTAACTCTCATAGTGACACACTCTTGTGTTTTTTTAAAACTTGCCTCTGTTTAACAACAGCATGACAGAATTCCTACAATTCACTTTTACTTTCTGACAGCCACCCCAAGGTTTCCAGTGTCCCCGCATGGCCTCTATGAAAACCTCTGGAGGCAGCACTGAACATCTGCATTCCCCATCGCCTGCTGTCACATGGCAAACCGCAGCTCGAGCCTCACCAAGGCGGCCTGAGATGCAAACTTTCACTTTCATTTCACATCTAAATTCCTGATCCCAATCCTGCTCTACCTGCTGTGTGACGAGGCCACCTGACCTGCTGCTGCGGTGGCAAACTGTGGTCTCACTGTGCAGCCCGACACCTGCACACAGGTACCGATGGACGGGAGGAAAACATTACGTCATCCACAGCACCATGAGGCAAAGAGCCCCAATGACACACATCATTGATTTAAAGGTTAAACAAACCGCCAGATGTCAGATTTTACTGCCGATGAGACCACAGACAACACGATCGCCTCGGTTGGATGAAACGATGTGAACGATGTTGTTTTCTTCCCCGCAGCAAGACACAATCAAACGTCTTCATGACTAACGAATCTGACACACAGTATTTCAACACTACAGGTGTGAAACTTCTCTTACCTGTTCGTCACTTTAGTTGTTCGGAGAAAAAAAACAGGAACCAAAGCTGTCCCTCACATGTAAACTATTAGTCGCTAACGTTATTTAGCCAGCGTCAGAAAGCTGGCTAATGCTAAACAGCTAGCGCTTTAGCTAATGAGCTAGCGAGGGTAAGTTAGCCAAACAGTAGCCGGGTAATTTGAGGCACTTGTTGGCTGACATGAACACCGAGCTACATCAGCGAGCTGTATGTCCTCCCAAAGGCATTTTGCCCACTTTCGTGCCGTTTTCCTGCCGCCGTGAGCGTGTTAAAGATGGGCTGAGGTTGTCTGTCAAAGCCGAGGCGAGTGTTGTTAGCTCAGGAAATACAGAAGATGCGAGCCCTGAGTTCTGGCTCTCAGGCAGCACTTCCTCACAGGCACAGACTGTAAAAAACAAACAAATACATTTACTTTTTTGTATATGTGTACGCCTTTATATTATTTATTATTTTTGCTCCACTTAGGCATAGAGATATACTGTAAAAAATAAACAAAAACAACAACTAATAAATTATATATGGAGCCAAAGCTGTCACTCACATGTAAACTAGTAGTGGCTAATGTTGTTTAGTCAGCATCAGTAAACAGGCTAATGCTAGCATGCTAGCTAGGGTAATATATATATATTTATTTATTTATATGTGTGACCAGATTTTAAGGCTGATACCAATATCAATATATAAGAGTTGAACATACTATACATTTGCCCATTTTGAAGGAGTGTGACCATGATCAAAAATAAATGTGATAATTTACAGTGTAAAAATGTACTGGTCAGTGTGTCAGCAGTCTGTGGAGGTCAAACTATGTAAAGTTCCTCAACTGCACTGACATTTCCTGTTATGCATTTCTTGTCTTGTTATGTTGTACTGATCAAAAGTTAAACCCACCCACTAATTTAAGCCTCTTTTAAATTGCTTTAGCTATTTTCTAGAGTTTAGAACAAACTAAATACATCAGCATGATGAAATAACACACGGGGAGGTACAGATGTGAACAAAAGTTTACATTCACCTGTAAAGACCATTTCATTGCAGTCCCGAGTTTCTGATGACTCCTATAACTCTTAATATTCTAAGATAGAATGATTGAAACAGACAGGTCTTTATCAAAACCAGTCGTGCATTTTGGTTCTTTCATAGACTTATTAAGGGTCTTCTGGGGATATGACTACATCAAACATCAAAGACATACAGACAGTAATGCTAATATTTGGTTAAATGTCCTCTGACCATTTTCTCCTCAACCAGACGCTTTTGTTTCTGTCCACAAGCTTCTGGTTGTGTCTTTGACCCTCCTCTTGTTAGAATCGTTGCAGTTCCACTAAATTTGAAAGCTTTCTGACACACAATGTGACCTCGATGACTGAGAATTTGCACAGAGACAAAATAAATACGAGACAAAATATGATTCACAGCTTCATCGGATATACATCAGTGAGTCAAACCATGATGACAACTGCTGCTGATTATAATCTCGCTCCTTTAAGTGTCAGAAAAGCTAAATTAATTACAGTTGATACGGCTGAAAGAAAATGAGCATAAAAGTAATTTGCATAGAAAAATGAACAGACAGCAATATGTTCATTTAAACTGTCTTCACATCAGTTACATCAACACTACATTAATCCCAGCAGGTTCTCTTGATTGAATTAAGATGCAAGATTCAAGATAAGCTTTATTTGTCACATACACATTCATACACAGTACAATGTGCAGTGAAATGTATTTTGTGTCAGCCTCCAGTTTCAATAAAAGTAGAAGAAAAAATAAAATAAAAGTATGTGTTAAAGAAGTATCTATACAGTACTTTAAATATATATACATATACATAAACAATCAAATAAATAAAGGAAATGGAACATGAACCTCAGGATGTAACATTTCATAAACCCTCATGAGACAACATGGTGGAAGTTTTGTGATTAAAACCTAACCTTGTGGGCCAGTCCAGCCTGCGAGCTTAAACTCAGGGGAAACTGGTGCAACTCTCTCAGGAAATCCCCTTCCTTCTTCCGCAGTGGGAGGTGACGTCAGCCGGCCGCAGCTCCGCAGCTTCCTCCGCTGATGTGCGCAAAAGTGAAAGCGGCTACATGATGCTGTCTGTCCCCGCTGCTGCTGGAGTCCTTCTACTCTTAGCTTGGATTTATCCAAGCGACGGACTCTATTTCCACATAGGAGAGACGGAGAAGAAATGCTTCATTGAGGAAATCCCGGATGAGACCATGGTCATCGGTAAGCTGCTGTTAGCCTGTTAGCTTGACGCGGCTAACTAGCACTGAGCGCTAACAGCTGGCTCCAGGGAAGATGCTGCATCAGATGTGACAGCATCCACGAAAGAAAGGCTCGTTCACAGTATTTAGAGCGGTTCCAGGCCCTACAACTGCAAATAGATACGTTTTCTGTAGTTTAAAACAAACAAACAAACAAACAGACTTAGCCTCTTTACAGGTTCTCTCAGTTAGCGTTAGCATGCACCTGTATAGTTAAACAGCTAGAGATGCTGGATGGCTCTGATGGAGATCTGTGAGGAGTGGTGATGCTGCTCTTTGCTTATGGTGGTGTGTTACAGTCTGCTTTCTGGAGTAGGAGGCTGTAGACCTGGATCTACACTTCTATTTTTGTTTGCTTGATTTTAAAAATCACTGATAACTTGCTTGTTGCTAAATAAGACAATAAAAGCCTTCATGTGCTTCCATAGTGTGATGGTCACACCAAGAGGACTGCATGGATTCATCTGTACTATTTAAACCTTTGGTCAGACACTCTGCGTATGTATATCCTAAATCACAGACTTTGTGATTTTGATTCTAAATAATGAATTTTTCAGCCATAATACTAGATGGAAAAGTAAACTCTGAATGGATAAAATATGTGCAGCTTTTGTGTGCAACAATTTCTTGCAACCTAGATGAATTTCTGGTGTTGGCCCATCCAATGCATTTTCTTTAAAAATAGAGATGTTTTTTTGTTATTTTTTGAGAACAGCTTGTGAAGATATGGAGCTGATTCTGAGTATGAAGTTGGCAGAACTAAAGTCTGGCATCACCAAGTGTGAAACCTGCCATTTGTCTAAACATTGCATCCATTTAAGGTTTGCTCTCGTTGCAAACTTAAATGAGAATTTTGATATTTTCACAACTTAAGCTGCATTTAATATATTGATTTTCAGACAGCTTTTCTCCATTTTTGTAAGTTTACATGCATTATACTTTTTGTCGTTCTCATTGTAAGTGTTTTTACAATGCATTCTGTTTATACAGTACCCCCATTTGGTTTTGTATGTTAATATTTCTGGTAGTTGTCTGTGAAGATTGTCAGTCATCCAGGTCATGGTTATTCTGGTAGATTAATCGTAGCAACTGGACTTGCTTGAGTTCCTTGAAGACGTTCCACCTCTCATCCAAGAGGCTTCATCAGTTCTGACTGACTAGTTGGGAGCTCCACATACTTTTATCCTATATATGGCTCCTTTAGGATATCAGTATGTGGAACTCCCAACTAGTCAGTCAGAACTGATGAAGCCTCTTGGATGAGAGGTGGAACGTCTTCAAGGAACTCAAGCAAGTCCAGTTGCTACGATTAACCCACGAGAATTTCTGCTAATTATATTCTACTTAAGTTTGTAATTCTCTTGCTGTTTTTGTGGACCAGAAGTTAAACCTGCTGTCCTGACCTGACGTGATGTGTTTGTGTTTCCTGTCCGACAGGAAAGTACAGGACTCAGCTGTGGGACAAACAGACCAGCTCCTTCCTCCCGTCCACCCCCGGCCTCGGCATGCACGTCGAGATCAAGGATCCAGACACGAAGGTAAACACAGAGGAGACGCAGGTACTATAAGACACACCCACAAACCAAACATACAGATGATACCTAAAGATTTGTCTCGTGTGTCTCCGTCAGATCATCCTTTCTCGTCAGTATGGGTCGGATGGACGGTTCACTTTTACCTCCCACACTCCTGGAGAGCATCAGATCTGTCTGCACTCCAACTCCACCAAGATGGCTCTGTTTGCAGGTGGAAAACTGGTACGAACATACCTACTGGCTTGACTATTCTCTACCCTAGTTTGACTCATTCTAAATAAATTTCAGAGGTTAAAAAAAAACTTAGATCTGGTCTGATAAGTGTGCTCACAGAATTAACAGCACGTGGAATTTAAACTGTCTGTTCCTACCACAGCGAGTGCATCTGGACATTCAGGTCGGAGAACATACCAACAACTATCCTGAAATCGCAGCTAAAGACAAACTGACCGAGCTGCAGCTGCGAGTCCGGCAGCTGCTGGACCAAGTGGAGCAGATCCAGAAGGAGCAAAACTATCAGAGGGTCGGTAAACAAAATAAAAGCATTAATCACATCTGGCACGTGAGGGTGAGGCCAGTTAAACCGCTGTAATAACCTCACTGTGTGTGTTTTTCCTCCTGCAGTATCGCGAAGAGCGGTTTCGCATGACGAGCGAGAGCACCAACCAGCGCGTCCTCTGGTGGTCCATCGCTCAGACGCTCATCCTCATCGTCACCGGCATTTGGCAGATGAAGCACCTGAAAAGCTTCTTCGAGGCCAAGAAACTGGTGTAATGTCCGACTCTGCAGCCACAGCATCAGGAAACGACACAAGATGGACTTTACTCACCGGGAGATGAAGACACGTGGTCCTAACGCCAGCCATAAATGGTACTAGCAAACCTACAGATGCTGTTTTTGATCCTGGGCGATGTGTTGTTTTTTTTCCCCTTGTACACATTTTAGGTTTTCCACAGTAGCACAACATTCCAGCCGCCGTTCTTGTTGTGTTTTGTTGACAACACTGGACATGTCATTTGTCTATCTTCAAGTGCAGGAAGAAGCAGGTTTCTTGTGATTATGTTGAAGCTGTTACAAGTAAGAACCCAGTAGTTTATTTAAATTTTTTGTTTTTGTCATTGTTAGTGTTGCACATAGTTTGATTTGTAGGTTTTGTAAATTCTAACCGCTTTCAGTCGTGTTCACCAAATGGTCGCACTTATGCAAATATTATACTGGCCTTGATTCCTGACATGTCCATTGAATAACACTTGACTTTAACCTTCTGAACCCCAAGCAGTTTCTGGGTGTTTTGTTTTATTTTTTGCCCCTGTCCTGTTTTTCACTGCGATATGAAGCCCCTCTGTAAAAACAGCACAACCATGAAGAAATAGGGAGAACTGAAAAATGCCTCCTGTGCAGTTTGACACAGTTAGAATACCAGAAAACATTAAAAAAAAACAACCCAAAGTTTAATTTCTTTGAGTATTTATGTTGTAACAATTGGGAAAAAAAACTCCGGTTAACATGTACAACATTTCTCCAAGTGGCTGCAGATGTTGGCAACGCTGGAATAACGATGACTCTACATACTAGAGATTATTTACTACCTACATTTTAAGTTGTTTCCATACTTGCCTCCACTGTGTAAACACAGCCTATAGAAACATGGCTGGAGGTGAAGCACCGCAGCTATGATGCCATAAATTCTCTTAAATACAAAAAAACAAAGTTGTTTTTCTTTGATGATTTATTTTTGAAAAATTAAGACAACCAGGAATCAACAAGTAAAACATTGTTCCAAATGTCCACATGGGTTATTAATACTGAAGGAAAAAGTCATGGCTCTATATTCTAAATATATTTTACATTTCTAATTTGTCTCCCTCTTTGTCTCCTGCAGTTCAACCCAAAAGTCCCTGAATTTTTGTCACGTGACTGTTGGTCACAGCTGAGTCACTAATAGCTTCTTAGTTCAGTAAAGTAGGTCAGAATTTTTTGTTTTTTACAGAACCTGGTTCCTGTAAACGATTTATTATTTTGAAAACATTGAACGAGGCATTTAAAGGGATTTTGATGACATTATAATTTTGGATTTGGATAATTTCCCTGACAGAACTTCATATCAGTGCTAATTAGTTCCATCAGAAAGTAGAAAATCTGTAGATTTTCTCTGTTTACAGTTTCTGTCTCTGATAAATGGTGTCATTTTGGTGGATTTATTTATTTTTCGTTGTTTTTTTTTTCTTCTAAAATTGAAAAATAAAATGCCTTTCAAACCTGCCGGCAGGTTTTGGGGTTCAGAGGATTAACCTCCGTATTTAGCATTTACAAGCAGCATAAAAACCCTTCATAAGCAGGAAATAACCAATAAAATCACAGCATGGAGGAGTGTATTTGTCAACAATACTAACCTCTCATGAAGCATTTGTAACTGTTGAATGAACAGTCAGCTAATGATTAAGAACTTAGTGTGACAAAGCTGTTCTATTCATTACATCTGTATACGGTCACCTTGAGCTTTAAGGTTTGTTCTTCATATAAGAAACCAAAGCCAAAAAAAAAAAAGTTTAATTCACGGCCAATTTACTAGATTCTACCCAGACCTGTCAGCGGCATCTCATAAAGGAGGCTAAATAAGTATTGAAATAAGCTACATTAACAAATAAAGGATAATTCAGGTATATCTCAGCTACAGACATTATGTACAACGTGGAAATTGGGGTTTGTTGGAAGCTGTCGGAGCTCCCATTTGCCCTGATCTAAGCTGTTCTGTGCGACTTTTCATTTCCCTGAACCACTACGAAGAAACACATTAACTGCAGCGGGTTGAAATAAACCGGAATGATCCTTTATATGAATAAATATAAGCAGCGTGTGATTTCAAAGCTTCTTATGGGTGCTTCACAGAAGACACGTTGACTAATACAATAACATCAAAACACTAAAAATGTTGTTTTATTTACTCATAACTAAAGTTTACATGCTGCTTATAAATGTGAAGCGTCAGCATCAAGCTCACCGTCCGTCCTTCTACAACCAGTTCACCAGAAAGGCCTGTAGATACAGTTTGTGATATTAAAACCAGGATTTTATGTTGTAAATAGAAGGTCTAGCTTATTGGCTGTCCTGTTCATTTTCTAATGCCTTTTACACGGATTGAACGAGATCAAAGCGTCTACATCTTTCAGCACAACTTATTTATTGAGCAGCCTGTGTTCCGTTGCTGAGCTTCAGTTTTGTTATTTCTGCTTCCATTTGTCAGCGAAGGACAGCGTTTTAATCCTAATTCGATTCATTGTGACTCTCTCTGTGTTCTCATCTTTCACATGCAAAGTTTAGATTTCAGTGCAGTTCTTTAGATGAAGTACGTTCAGTTAAATATTCACATTTTTACTGTCATCTCCATGTGCTCAATAAAGAAACTCTCCAAACTACCGTCTCTCTGGTTTTTGTGCCACTTTGCCCTAAAGGGGAAGAAATACACAGCAAATGGCGGAAATTTTCAACAGTAAAATTTATTGCTTGGCTTTGGCTTCCCTTCAGAGCTTCGATTCCAAACCAAACAATGCTGAGACGCCTCGTGAACACAACCTCACAACAACCTTTTTTTTTTTTCTTTAAATCATCGACAAATCAGCGCACTTTTCATGGAGACAGGAACACACACCGACCCTGTGACATCTTTGAGGAAACCGCTGCTGCAGTGCAAAAAAAAAAAATCAAAAACACCACTTTGCATAGGTTTACTCTCAATCTCCGACAAACACCACGGCACGGACACAGGACTGGTACACGGAAACAGAACTTGGGGGGTTTTACTCTCGGGTTTCGTTAATATCAAGAATAGATTTCTGACACATTTGGCACACCGTACGAAACAATATCACAATACTATGCGTCGTTATAAAGGGTAAATGATTTATTAAATCAAGTCTTTGCTTCAACTGTACAACAAAAACGGTACATTTGTACTGCGTGGAGTTCCTGATCTGTGGGACACACGTTTCAGCACTGTCACATGTCGGGTTGGAAAGGTAGAAAATATCACAACAAACCCTCACCTAGCTCCTGTGAAATCAAGTTTCCGTAAGTCGCCAGTGTTTGACTTGTAGCTTCACTAATAGGTTTCCATGAGGAGGAAGTCAGAGCACTAAAGGGTAATAACACCTGTTAGACACTACTGTTAAAAAAGGTTCAACTACCTCTGTACCGAATGCCGCTTTTTAAATGCTTAAAAGAGCAAGAAGGGCACACAAAAAGTGAAGAGGATTAGGCAAGTGCTCTTCCAAACTTACGCAGCAATCCCAGCTCCACACGGCTGGAGGTGGAAGTGGTCTGCATCACTGCTCCGCTCAGCTCGCACGTGAAGAGATTTTTATTTTTGAATTTTTTTAAATTATTATTAATATTTTCTTAAAGGTATTTCAGAGGAAAACAAGCTCTTCCTAGTGTTCAGACACGGTAAGGTGCTTCATCTTCTTGGCGGCTTCTTCCGACACCGTCTTGGAGGTTTTCTCCGGGCTGGGAGCCGGACTGGGAGCCGGACTGGGGTTTGGAGTGTTGGCCGCGCTGTTGGGATACTCCCTGTTGCCGAATATGATGCTGCCCACTCGCACGTTGGTGGAGCCCACCTCGATCTACAACACACATGCAAGCACAGAATGAGGTTCACTTACATGCATTATTAACATCGCTGTTATGGAATCAAATGGCTAAAAGTTCTCCTGCAGACATGAACAAAGCACAAGTTGGTCTTTACTGATTCTTTGACTTTTAGCACCTCTAGTGGAGTATAGTGTCACACAGTCGGATCATTCTCTACTCCTGACTTAGTGCTGTACAAGATGGTCTGACTGCACCTCATTATCATCCTCAGCGGGTCGTCAAATCACCATAACGCCTAAACACACACACTTTTGTGGGAGGTTGTCTTCTGTTTTCTGTCTATAAGAACCAACGCTTCATACTTTTAGTTAGTCACTTGTTCAGACTCTGTGCTGTACGTCTTGCTCCTTGCTGCGAGTAAAACTTTGCTTTGATTTAAGAGGCGACTCTGTGTAGGGATTTGGAGCAGTTAGGACTCCACTGGAGAATTTTCCTAACACAAGCACAGTTCACAGACAATAAAAAAAAACCCCAAAAAACAGAAAAACCTAGAAGTAGTACAAGGCAAAGACGGGTACCTGTGTATAGGTTTGATAAGACCATAGGTTGGTATTGTTATCAGTGGACTCAAACTTTGAAATTATAGAAAATGAGAGGGGAACAAACTGTTGTGCAAACTAAAAGGCTCAAATTTGAAGTAAAATGTTTTTGTCTTGAAGCTACAGAGCTCAAAATAGATGCCAAAACACGCTTGTATCTAACTAAACATGAGCCCAAATAAAATAAAAATTGCTCCTTAAGAGACATGAGGGAAAGTCACTTGGATCAGTGAACCTTTGGATATTCTGCATTTCTGACTTTCTGACATTTACAGAGTTGGTAAATGAAATGGTTGAATTATGAAATTCCAGCAAGGCTGCATATTTGATGCTGACATACCATTTGATGTCAAAAGCCTCTCCCTTGTGTTTGCTGTCTGTCTCCAGCATCAAAACATTAAAACCTTTATTTTAGACAAGACTAATCTTAATCTGATACAAATCTTAAAATACTGGACGTCCTACAGAACATGTGAACCTTTAACAAAGTTTTAAAATCCTCTCAGATATTTAAAGAGGTGCTGCTGTTACCTGCGTCTATATTTATGCACAGAAATCATTTCTAAATATGAATAATGAATAATACTCACCGCATGTTCAAAGTCTGTAGACATCCCCATGCTGAGTTCTACCTCCTCCAGAGGCAGCTTCAGACTGTCACACAGCTCCTGCCTCCGACTCAGCAGCATCTACGGCAGGTTCACATTGTTTAGATCACACGCCGATATCACAGTCTGACATTTTAAAATCTACTTGGAAGTGTGTCACCAGTCCGTGGTGGACAAACATCGTACAGGTGACAGCTTTTCAAAAATGTTGAATATTTTGTATTGTGTGAAGAACGCTGCATAACATCAACCTCTATGGACGGTGCCCAAGAAGGAAAAAACTCTCTTGTGCTTCAACACCAAAGTGCAAGATTAAACTTTGCTAAAGAACATGAAAAGAATAAATAATGATGAATGAGTTTGGCTCAGATGGGGTCCAACATGTTTGGTGTGAACCTGACCAGGACCACCACAGTGATCGCATCGTCCTGACAGTGAAGCGCGGCGGAGGGACTGTGATGATACGAGGCTGCATGAGTGCAAAATGTGTCGAGGAGAGGACATTTATAGATGCAATGTGAACGTCTGTGGATGAGTCAAAATACTGGCAGACAAGACGACTCCTTGGCAGAAGGAGAATATTTCAGCTCTATAAAGAGCTTCTACAGAAGAAAAAAGTGAAAACTACGACCTGGACAAGTATGTTGTCTGACTTGAATCCAATAAAACACCTTTGACGTATTTTACAGATGAATATAGAGCAACATGACCCCTCCAGCAAAGAGCAGCTGAAAAAAAAATAGCCTCTGAAGATTGATAGAACATCTGTCTAGAAACCTGATACCCTCCAGGCTGAGGAGGACTGAATCAGGAATAAAGCTAAGAAAAAAAAGCATACTGACTTTTGCTTTACAAATACGGGGCACATATTGTTAATGTAGTAAATCTAAACTGTTTAATTTTACATGGGAGCAAATACCTTCATGTTGAACTTAGAAGTAATATCATATTTTAATATTTTAGGATTATTATCACCAGCTCACTTTTAATGCTCGGTTGCTGCTGCTGTTGTTGCCTTTTTTTGTCTTTTATCGGTTATATGTTACTTGTTATCTGTACCTGTGAGCTGAGCCTGAGATACTCGAATTTCCCCTAGGGGATGAATAATCTATCTATCTATCTATCTATCTATCTATCTATCTATCTATCTATCTATCATTTTGAATCATCTGACATCGACGTTGCGTAGTTTTTCTTGGTGCCACGAAGAAATAAGAGGAGTCTTGTCAGTAGGTGTTTTGTACCTGAAAGTCTGGGTTTGGTCCCAGCGTGAGGTCGTATCCGTAGCGTCCGATGGTCATGAGTCCTGAGAAGATCAGGGCTGGACACTGAGACACGATGTGCTTCACCGTGTCGACCGTGTCGTCTGGTGGAAGCCCGTGTTTGCCTGCAACAAAACATTTGACGCCCTGTTCACGGAACTGTGTCGGTGCAGCGTTTGTTCTTGTGACGGGTGCAGCACTCACTCTGCTCTCCGCTGGTGTTGATCTGCACCATGACCTTTAGCCTCTGCGAACTCGCCCCTCTGATGCGCTGCCACGAGCTGTTGACCTTGTCAGCCAGTTTGGCCGAGTCGACCGTCTCCACCAGGAACAGGTTGGGCACGCCTGGAGGCAACCAGAGGGGTTTTATTAACGTGCAGCTGGACTACGAGGCCAGATTAGTGGGTTAGTGAGGTATGTTGAGATTTACAAAGCTGGCTCTCTTTTAACCTGCTAGATCACCATGGTAACTGATGCTGTGGAGCTAACTTGGTCCAGAGCAGGTTACGTTCAGAGATTCAGATTTAAATCGTCTGGAAGAAGCATCTCTCTTTAACCAAATCGATCAGCTGAGGGAATATGTTTTATCTGTACGTTATTAAAACCGCTGAATGAAGCCGTGCAGTTACAGCATCACACACTGTAGGAGTCCCGTTGCCATGGGAACACTCATGTATTCAGCTGGTGATGCAGAAATCGCATAAATACGTTTTTATGTTTGGTCCTGATTTGCAGCCAAGACCATTTTACTCTGCTGGTACTGCAGCTGACAGAACACAGATCATAAAACGGATCATCCTCCCGGTATTGATTACAGAGAATTTGCAATCAATAGCATTAATTTCACTTCACTTGCTTTGAAACAAAACACAGCGATTTCCTGCATTATGGGATGGTGTCAGACCTGAATGCACTTCAATACAATGTCAGGTTTAAATATATGAAATTTAAGAGCTTTATGTTGGAAATAAGCAGCTGCACTCATCTGTAAAATAAATAGATTAACTATATTGATAGTTTCTAGCAGCATGCCTGTGTTGAATCATTTGCAGTAGCAGTGCTTTTTACCATCAATTTTTTTTATATTCCTCATTGTGCTCCATTAAAACAACATGTTGACTGAAGCAGCTGCACACAATCGGTTCATTTAGTGCAGAAGAAGAGTCACGTGGCGCCTTAAACGCATCCTTATGTCAACAAAGAAAGTTGATAACCACCTTTGTGATATCTGTTATCTCTGAATGGGGCTTTAGCTTCTGTTGAGCCAACTTTCCCAAAGAAAGCCTAACTATGTGGAACCACGAGGACCATGAGGAGAAGTCAACAGTCACTCACCCAAAAGTTTGTTGACGTTGTTCTTCTGTAGATGGCCGATGAAATGCCACTTGATTTCTGGACATGATTCTAAAATCTGCAAGAGAGGAAAACAAAGCAATGTAAAAACTTGTCATACACTCAGGTGAGAAAAAAAAATCCAAGATACCAACCAGAGGATCTGAAGCTTTGTCCACAAGCTCATTAACCTGATGGGAGACAAAGTGCAAAGTCAGTGTCTGCATTAACGCCCACCTTCATTTCTCTAAGAGTTCATGCAGTGACACCAGAATGCAGAATGGTTCCATACGCACATAGTTTTCTCCAAAGTTGCGCTGCCCTTGTTTGTAGGCCTCCACGACCATCTCCGGAGGTTTTGTCTTGCTGACGGCGACGAGGCGAGGCGGCACAATCGGTAGCGTCTGAGGAAGAACAAAACATTTTTCATCTGCATCGGTTGGAGGAGCTCAGTGTGTGATGCAGAGCGTTAGCGGAGGTCTTTGTAGTGAGTCAGCCTTGTTAGGATCTTACAAAACAATGACGAGACTGTAGCTGTGTTCAGATGCTCACACATCATGTGTTAAGTAGATGAACATGAAGCAATCAGCCAGAAACATTTTGATAGAGCCTGACTGATGTATTATCACAGATATATTGATACTAGCATAAATGTTGCCAGATGTGATTATTTTCAACGAACATAATGCCAAAAAAGAGGCGTGAGAGGAGTTAAAAATGGTGTAATGTCACAGTTCGTCCAGCAGGGTGTGCTCCTGCTCCACTGTTTCTACTCTCAGCAGCACATGCAGCACAGTGGTGCAGAGTCAAATGGTGTCTTCATAGCACGATGCTAACTAGTTTGAGAAAGACATCGTTGGAAAGTTAATAAACAATAGCCATCATTTTCTCTTCCCTGATATCGATAAACTGGTTGATATTCTTATATTAATACATAAACACACTTAGCATTTTAAAGATGTGGAGAAATGATGGGTTTATTGTTTATTTCTATTTCACAAATTAGCTGCTGTCAAGACACCGCTCTACTCCGCACCAACCATCATGTAGCGTAGCATTGAAAGGTTAGCATCATAATGGTGGATTGAGTGTTGACTTGGTGATACGTCGTCACCAAGATTTAGAAGTGTAAATTAATAAACAATGTCAACAACTTTTACTTTTACGTTACAACCATAAAAGTCCCTCATGCTTTGTTAGCTACATTTACTCACTAGCAAACCACGTAGCTACTCTCATAGCTTGTCAGTTGAGGGGAAGCTAACGCGTCAGCATCTAGGGCCTGAAGCTAAGGTGTTAGCATCTAGGGCCTGTTCTTCCTGTCATTAAAGTTTGGTATTAAAACTGAACCATTCCAGTCACTACATTTACAAACGCTAACATTTTAAAGCGGTTTTCGACCAAGTATGTAGAAAGTTTTTCAGGAACATTTACAGTAAAGGCGCTACTCATGTCTTTTTCGGCAGTAGCAGACAGTTTGTGGCCATTAAGCAATAACAGCGATATTTTGCTTGAGATAAAATTTTAACAAGCATGAAAAAACGTGAATGATTGGGGTTAAATCCTTGAAATGGTGGTTAGAAGCGACTCCGGAGCATAAATATCATCAGCTAGCTTGACAGAGAAGAGACTAAGAGGTTTAGTGTAGGCCACATAAGACCAACATGTATTCATCATTAGTGGATCCTGAGCTATTAAGAGTGGAACATGAAATACAATATGCAATGCAAAAAAAGTCTGGTTCCAGCTCAGATATATAATTAAGGTAATGTCTCACACCTTTTTATGTAATCTATTTGTGTAAAGTAAGTGTTTTCATATTGATAAATTATATTTGTACAAAATCTACTATCAGCCACAACCTCGATGAGCACATTAAGACTTAATTCAATCCTGCATTTACAAATCAGGAATATTGCTAAAGTCAAACTAATGCTCAAACCAAAAACATTGCTGAACATCCCTTACTTTTTTTTTTTGTTTAGCAATATCAATTTCCCCATTTTTATGCAGTGTAAAATATAGCAGCATCGCACAATATCCAGTCAAATTACACTGCCTCTCCATTCACTACAGAACTTCATTCAAGAATTTTTGCACTACATCTTGGAAACTTTATCCCATTTCTTACTGAACTGATGCCCTTAGAGCAGACAACCAGCTGCTTTTAAAAGCTCCACAGTCCAGGTCTAAATCTACGGGGGGCCATGCTTTTGCTGTTTATGTCCCAGAGCAGCTCAGTTCAGAAAGCTTTTAAAAACCCACCTGTACAGTCTAGTGTTTCTATGTCATATCTTCTCTGTTTTTTTGTTTTTTTTAAACTAATGTTTTCAATGTTTTATTGCAGCCTTTTTCTTGTAAATCACCTGCAACTCTAGTTTTGAAAGGTACTCATGAAATAAAGCTGATTGTTGTTATTTAGCAGCATTTGGCTGATATCAGAAATCTGATATTGCTATATTGGTAGATATTCTTTATGTGTATTAATATTATATATACACATAGTATGTTAGAGACATATTAATTTGGAAAACAACAGAGCGGTTATTCAGCAATGTACTTCACAAACTAGTTACCGTGAAGACACCTGTTGACTCCGCACCACTGTGTTCTCTGCTACATGTGCTGCAGACAGCAAAAAAACAAAAGGTTTAATGAACTACATGTGTGATGACACCATTTCCAACTCATCCCAAGTGTCTTTTCCTGCATTATGCTGTGTAAAAAAAAACAAAACAACACATGCATTCAAACAAGCACATATCAGACAACACATGCAGAAACAGATATATCCGTGATAAGCCAACTAGACATGCTCTGATGTTTAGATTATTAGTTAGAAGCCACTGAGAGAGCATGCTCTGACCCAGATACCAGCCTGGACTCTGCTTCCATGAAAGGACACTTTAATGAAAATGACATCTTCACTAGTGGAGCTGTGGTGTGCACACAGAAGCATGGCCGAGCCCCCAAACAGGCCAAATATCTGTGATTATATCATGAAATCGTGCCAATAGTGGCCTCAGCTCGGACGCATCACCACCACGCAGTGACAGTGTGGCTGCTGCTCCCACGCATCCTCCTCACGCTGCCACTGTGCACCGTGTTATGAAAGTGCAGCCCGCCTGTGTGCCGATCCAAAGGTTGAGGTGTTCGGCTGCCTTTTACATAACGAGCCGCGCCGCCGCCGCCGCACAGCGACTCCCCGAGTTTGCAGCGACGACAGCGGCGCCGCCTCCCGGAGCCTCCCGGGCCGCGGTTACCTTGGGCCGCCGTGCCGCCGCCTGGTTCACCCGCTCCACTACCGACTGTAGCGCCTTCCCAACCTCCTCCGACATTGCTACTTTCCACATACCGTCAAACGGCGACGACACACAACGTAAAGAAACGTGACCGCGGTGACGACAGTCCGTCCGGCGGAAGAGGAGGCGCGGCGTCCGGCCAGCGCCCCCCGTCGGCCCGGATAGGGTACTGCAGCCTCATGAACGCCCACCTGCGCTTCTTAAACTGCCAGAACTCAGGTTTTATCTGGACTTCTGTTGATTCTGAGGTGGTACAAAGTTCTGATACTGATAGAATGGTTGATATTCTTTTAAATATATTATTACATGTACACACACAGCATTTTAAAGATATATTAAATTGGAAAAATGATGGGGTAACTGTTTATTTGCATATCATAAACTAGGTACTGTGAAGACACCTCTTGACTCCGCACCACTTTCTTCTCTACTACATGTGCTGCAGACAGTAATGTAAAAATAGAGCCATAATGACACCATGTATAACTTATCCCAAGTATCTTTTTCTGCATTACATAAAAATATTAAAGCTTTTCCACAATATTCTATTTATCTTTTTAACATATAATAAGAAGAGTAATAAGAGTAGAACATCAAGGCAACAAATAAAAACACCTGCAACACCTATAAAAAAATGACAGGCTTCTATAATTATCTATTTGGTCAGTTATATTGTCTTAAAACAAAAATACAAACGCCTGTATAGCAGAAGAAATAAAAAGGGTTGAGGTGTCATGAGGTGAAACAGGTGCCAGATCTGAACATTTCCCTCAAATCTCACATCTTTCTCATACATACTATTAAGTCTCACAAATCTGAATAATGAAAAAGAAGTTAATTTCAAGTTTTTCATGGCATTCTTTCTTTTTGGATGCACTAGTAAACTCCTCCTGGACATTTGTTAAAGCCAGGTTTCCAAACAAGCTGATGTTTCTTTATCCCAGTCTTCTTAGTGACGACTACTCCGTATTGGATCTGCACAGTTTTTCCTTTTAGCAAGGAGCTGGACCCCAAAGCAGAAAGACTTTGGTGAAGGAAATCTCAGTGGAAACATGTAAGATGCTGAACAAAGCATCCCCAGCTAATCAAACATCTGATCTAGTTGTCATAGTTGGAGCGTTATGTTGCACTATAACGATTTTACCAACTAACCCGTCGTATGGTGGCGACATGAAAAACAGAAAACACAAATACAAAGAAAAACAGATTTATTCACATGGTTACACAATTCAAAACACAGCCAAACAAAACATCCATGTCAACGAAAGTCAGACATCGAAGACTTTGACAAAGAACTAAAAAAGGGCGGTGAACAGAATGTAAAAAGTTGTGGATCGAGCTCTTCTCCATCTGCAGACGCCTCCTCGTCCTCTCTCATACTCTCTCCAAGGCCTCCAACATGATGATGCTGTTTCCCCTGATGACCTGAGAGAAACAAGGCCGAATAGGGTTAAACTTCTTCTCCTGGCATCGATCAAATCCATAAAAACGCATTCACATGTATAAAAATTACGTATTTAGGAGATTTTTTTAAACATGAAAACAATCATTTTGTGCCTTCAAATAACACAAGACCTTTGTTTGGTTTACTAGCAGATTTATGCAAAGTAATGCGTCCAAACATGTTTGAACATTTAATTTTAATGAAGTGTAATGATACGGAAAGCCAAACCCTGCAAGTGTACAGGCGTAATTCTTCAGGTTTTTCACATATAAAACCCTGAAAGTTTGAATCTGTGTTTTGTCATCAGCAAGCTGCAATTGTTCAATAACAGCACTGCTTATTTCACTCATTCTGCAAAAAAAATATCTACATATGAGCATGTTAACAAGGAATAAAGACTAATTAAGACACAGCATTTATGCCAAACTTCTTAAATATTGAGATTAATTTCAGATCAATCCAAACAGAGCTCTCAAAACTCTCCATTTAAGTCTGTACGTTAAATCCTAAGCAGTGTTTTTGTTCAATCTATTGGCCAAAAAGTCAAGTGTAATCTTTGCAAACAGCATTTTGCACAACAGCTTAACAACCAACAAGGAAAATCATAAAAAACAGCAGCTACGTTTAGATTCCACAACATATTCTTCAATATTTCTTGTGCTGGAATCTAAAGTTTATATAGTTCGGCATTTAGAAATTACACGAATGTGGGTAAAGGCACACTGGTTTGCTATTATTTCAGTATAAAATAAGTTTAAAATGACTTCATATGCTGCAAACACAAGCTTTTTTATGTTTGTTTATAATTTATTTGGCAATATAAGGCTAGCAGGTAGAGTTGTGGAACATTTAGTTCATATAGTGATAACGTGCAGGTATTTTCCTCCCCTATGACCAATCGATTGATTAAACAGTACATTTCAGCTGACCATAACTGTCTTTGGTTTACTGCGGCCACAGTAACTGTATTAATGTCCCTTTCAGACAGTCTTAACTCTCTGTTCAGTCAGGCTCAGATGTGAAATTAAAGCGAATGAGCCATTTCTACTGCTATGGAACTTTCCATGTTGCTGGAATTCTAAATATCCGCTACGGGTCACATATAAAAGCTGCATTTCAGTTCTTATTGTCAACAAATCCAATAAAAAGGCCCAAAATACCAACAAATGCATTACTCTGTGAGTGCATCTAAAGCCTGATAAATCTCATTCCTCTGCGCTGCGGAGCTCCACTGTTGTTCAAATTCTATTAAAATCTCATCAGTGAGTCACACTGTTGGACCGGCAGACATGATCCTTCATCACCGTGAATAGATAATTCTGCTGCCTCACAAACGTGGATTACAGCTGAAAATAGTCCAACGAATGCACCATTTCCTCCCGTTTGCTTAAACCGTAAACGTCACGGCTTTGCAAAGAGCTGACACCTGTAAAATATCATGCAATGAGAGATTGTCAAGTTGTGTAGGATTTTCCTGCGCAGCTTCCCCACTTGAAAGGGATGGTAAAGAGCATAGAGTTGAACTGGATTTTACTCATGCAATTCCTCCAATGACCACAACTTTTCCTCTTCTTTTTGCTCCTTTAATTTCATTTTCTTTTGAGCTGAGAGTTGGGTTACATCAAGCAAGCAAGCAAGCAAGGTAAAAAACCTTAAACAAAACACAGAATATGTAGACAGTGTAAATAAACGTATTCACAAAATAAACAAGGTTCTTTCTTTCAATATTGTAAATAGTTTAAACAATTTCTGTCTTTTTAACTTAAACGTGTTGAAGCACTTTTTATGCAGTCATAATATTTAATGAAACATATTTTTAATTAATTAACAGTTTAAAGAGTCCTTTATATTTTTGAAAAACAGCATAAATTTAGCTTTTATCTGTCAGCATTCAACTCAAAATGTATCATTATAATTATTATTATTTTAGCTGTACCATTAAACAATCATGTACCACCTTGTTATCAATATTAATTATTCGTTTTTTCCACACCATTATAAGCAAATTAAATCGTGGCATTCTCTTTAACTGAAAATATTTTAACGAAAATCGTACACAGACAACAAACTTCGGTACTACACATGACGATAAACAAACTTAAACGGCTTCTGTCGCTTCCTTCAGCGGCCGTGATTTATTGTGCGCGTCTCTGAACAAAAGATCTGACTTCTCACCGGTTGCCTCTCTGGATGGATTGTCTCTGCACCGTTTGCTGCGTCTTTTCTCCACTGGATAAATGTCGCTTTGGCCCTGAGTCTTAGCTCCTTCTGGATTCCTCCATGTGCGCCCGACGCTATCTCCTGACTGTCTGATTCTGGATGCGCATCCAGGTGAATGCGCCCTCCCTCTCATTAGCGCTTTGGATTCAGAACAGCTGAGCTTCAGACCGCTGTCAATCAGCTCCTCCAGTCCTCCAGAATAGACTTACGTTTTCCTAAGTAATAATTCTTCATTTGTAATAATTCTTAATTTGTTGTCCTTACTTCCAAGTTGACTTTACAGAGATTATGTAAAGACTTGGGGACCTTGTTTGGTCCCATTTTGACTGTTGCTTCATTTTAAAAGAAAAACAGCACGGATATAGACTTTTAAAATAACTACGGTGCTCTGCTAGTTATGAAATTGCAACGGCTTTATAAAAGAAAT